AATGGCTGGATATAGATCTAGTGCTTCTAGACCTCACTGAGGGACAAGAAGCACAAGTAAGGGGTATAACAAGTGAAGCCCTAGGAAGGGTTAATTTGCTATCATTTAGAGAATTACCGTCCTTAGACCATTCAAACTCGGAATATATTATTTTGGACTAATGAGAAAACATATTAAACCCAGTATAGGATACGTTCTAACTTAATCTCATTTGTGAACGTTGAATTAATTTCTATTTCAATGCTTTTCTTTTAATGCATCACAATAGAATCAGTCCAGTTCAAAAATGATTGTGCTATCGTCGTTAAAACATTATTATCCCATCATTGCTCATTGATCGGTTCAGTAGCTGCTATAGGAATGGATATTACCTCGCTCTAAATATCCTAAACAATGTAAAAGTCAAACTTCACACAGTGTTCAAAGCTGGGGTTTCTCCGCCCTGTAGGACGTTCACCTGAAAGTGATCCAGCATCTGCTTCCAAGACAACACTAAAAGGGCCTCTTTGCGGACTTTCTTAGGGATTTCTGAGTAGAGTAATGAGTTCTCTCTGCTTCCATAAGGCATTCCTGTAAACAAAACAAAAAAAACAGCAAAAAAGTCTTTAGGAATCCGGTTTTTATTGCATGATGTGGTTCTATGTGCAGAAAGTCAAAGACTTTAAGAAGAAAACCTTGAAGTTAATCTTTAATTGACTTTGAACAGACATACCTAGGTAGTACAACCGGTGGGAGTGGGGCCCATTCTCATCCGCCTTCCGCACAAACTGGAAGTCATGGGGGGCTTTGTTGGCGATCATACCCGAGTATTTCCTGCTACAGTGGATGATGTCACGAAGGCCCTCCCAAGAGTGTTTCTCCACGAAGAACTGCGACGGAACGTCGTCCATCTCCACCACCTCTGTGCTGTCCCACAGGCCGTCAACAGCCATCCCGCTTGCAGTCCGACAACTGCATGGACAACACATGGAGCTAATCAGCTTTGGGTAAAGAAGCAACGGGGAGTCATGAGGAAAATCTGAAATGTTTTACCTTTTCCAGATGCCTTATTTCCCTCTATTCATTCACTGATCAGAAGGTCGGATCCTAATATGTGACCTGATCAGAGGACAGTAATGTTTAATGGAGGTTAAAGGAAAAGTCCAGTCAGCAAGGAATGATCAATGGATCATTATCTATACCTAAAACAAATACGTTTGCAGCGATTCAATTAATTTAGCGTAAAAAAAATAAAAACAACAAGTCTGGGAGCGGCCATTTTTGCCCAAATACAGTAACACCTCCCTCCTGCCATCTTCCGGCAGTGACGTCACAGTGCGGTAAGCCTAGCGCCATTCTCCCCGCTTTACAAGCTAAATCAATGGGAACTACTAGACACATCTGCAACCGTTGCATTTTTAAATCCCCTCGAGTGGTGAATAAAGAATAAAGTGAATGTGATTGGTCATTTATCAAGGGGGCGAGATTGTTGCAGCCGGTTTGTCGGAAGCATCTTGCTAACCAGTTAGCAACTTAGCGCTAGTAGGTTCCCAATGTGAAATTCCATTGGGACCAAGTAGCGCTAAATTGGTGACTTAGAAACGACGCTGTCAAAGAACGCTATGGACAGAGGAAACATGCAAGAGGAGGAGAGTTTAGTGTCGGAGGTCGTGGATGAGTCTCCTCCGTCATCCATTTTTTTATTTAGAGGAGGAAAGCG